TCATTTAACTTATACATTAACTTCTTCCTCTCCAAAACGCAGAATCGGCTTGAGCGGTTTTGATAATCCCATGCGTGATGCTGATACAAAAGTAGCGAAAAAATCAGTCGGTGAAGGTTTCAAAATTAAAATGGATGATATTGGTAATATACTTATCAAACGTTATGGCAAGAGCAATGTCTTCGTACACAACACTTCAATGGCTAACGAGGAGACGGTTATTGGCGCGGATATATTACAAATGCCAAATATGGCGCTAGCGCCAGGCACATCAGCAAAGGTAAATTGCTGGCACAGAAATTCCTAAGCTTTGAAAGTTTTTAAATAACTCTCACCTCTTTTGCAGCTCTTCGATATGCGCAAATATACGACTAATATAAATCGTGAATTCTCACGTTCATATCCGGAAAGTAGACGTCTGGAACGACAATGCTTGTCAGCCATTTCATTAGTCAAATCCAATAATAATCTAATCAATAACCCGCTTTGGATTCTGGTCATTAATATAGTCGCTATTGATATGCTGAAAAATCGCTTGCAGGCGCTACCTAAGTCGCTGGATGCGATGGGTATGCGTGTGCCGACAGCAGGCAGTGAGGATCCGTATTCAACCATTGAGAGTCAGGTCGGTCTCATTTATCCCACACCTGCCGCTTCTGATGACTCGAATAATTCAAATAATTCGAATCATTCGAATCATTCAAGTCATTCGAGTAAAGGACGCCGTCGCAGCGTTTTTAATGCAGGATTTATCGATGAAAGCCCATATGTGCCAAAGGTGAGTAGAAGGAATTGTTTTACTCAAATATACTTACATATGTTCCTAAAACCGGACAATAGCCACGCCCACCTCCCATATAACGGTATTTTCGAAATATGCAAATTTACGATATTTCCACAAATACTGGATCAAAATTGTTGAAGTTAGGTTTTCGAAGCAGAATTTCGGCATAAAATAAGACAGTTATGAAATTTTTGGAAAATGGGCGTGGCACCGCCCGCTTATGATAAAATGCTATAGCTCTAAAGTCCCCTCACCAATCCCCACCAAACTCGGTAGGAGCACATACAGGCAGACGGATAACGGACAGACAGACAGATAGACAGACAAGAATTCAAAAAATTTTTGATTTGGCTATTATTGCCCGAAGGCAGACCCGCCATATTAATTTTTCTTTAATATATATAATGTACAGACATCGGCCTGTTACCATTTTATTATATGTATAGATTATTTTGTATTTCGTTGCCTTAATATAGAAAGGCCCTATCTCACATCGTTGCTGAAATGCACAAAGCCGTAACTAACTAAAATCTTTTATTGCATAAAACGATGTGAGGTCACATAATTCGATCAAATGCATCATAATCAATTAAAACGTAAATTTTCGATTTTTAGTTAGTTACGACTTTTTGTAAATCAGCGACGATGTCAGATAGGGCCTTTCTATATTAAGGCAACGATTTGTATACCATTTTTCCATGCAATGTGTAGATGAATCCTCCTTCAGTTGGTCCTTCATTACATTCGAGTACGCCCTGGCTTTTGTTGTCCACCCATGAGACGACTTCAATGGCTAACGTGGCTAAAATTTCTCATCTATGTTCAATATCGTCCATATTTCTGGCCTGGGTTCGACCCCTGGTCCGGGAGAAGCCTTGGCCAAGCACTTAGCAAATGTGTAAAGGCCGGTCCACATAGAACTTTTTGGCCACTAAATTTACATACAGATGAATTAATGTTTCCTGCCCGCATTAGATTTTGTTTTTCGCTCCTAGAGCGTTTATGACACTAAAGCAATCATATACTAGCTTAGAGGTTAGGGCGGCCTAAATGTCCAACATCAAGCAGATATATTTCGAGAGTGTGCGTCTTTTGTGGCACTCTCTGCCGCAGATTACCATTGCCTGAATCTCCGCTTGAAAGATAACAAGTTTTTATAGAATTTTTGAAGTTCGGCCCAAATAGGCAAGCCCCAGTTTTTTCCATTTTCCAGCTTATATCAAACTGTGTAACAAACCTTACCATTAGGTTCAACGTATAGGTTCGTTGCTTTCCAGAGAGCCGCGTGTATTTTGTTGTTGATTTTGTTGACATCCGCTCCTCCGCCACATACCTATTCAATATGCCATGGGCAATTATATCCACGGGAAAGATATTTAACAGCAAATAGTATCCATCACCATAACCTAGTTACGTGACTATTTCTGAAATGGTACAATTTCTGGCAGGGTAATAGCAAAAATTTCAAATTTTCATGCATACTATGTACATTAGGATGCGGTTTTTCCACCGCAATTATAAAATTTATTCTGGGCTATCGCGATGGATTCAATCGTAGTCGTATTTTCATGAAATTTAAGAAAATGTTATATTTTAAGATTTTCTCCAAAATATTTCAGAGAAATACTACGATTTGCGTTAGCTAGACCGATCTAAAAATACATGCCAAAACCTGTTTATTCTAATTCCGTTGGGATTTTTTAAAAAATTGTTTGTAAACCTTTTAAGTTTAAATTCTTTTATTATCTGAGGTGACTTTTTAGAAAAAAAAATATTTTTAAAAACTATTTTTATTTATGAAAAACTCGTACATTTTTCAGTCACGCAAATCTTAATAATTTTCCGAAATATTTTGGCGGAAGTCTTAAAATATAATAGATTTTATAAATGTGCGATGGAAAAACAATAGCGATTTTTTTTTTAATTGTATGTAGGGTGATTCACCCTAATGTACGTACCTTTTAGAAGCATACAAAAAAATTTTCCGTACAATTTATTAACACGATCTTTTGTATATATTTCCCGGCTTGTACCCTGCCGTACACCTCCTGCACTTGATCACCTACACGCACCTGCACACACATATGTACATACATTCACACACCAACACACATCTACAGTATAGAGTTGCATACTGGGAAATCAAAAATGTACTCTAATTTTGATTACTTACTACATTTTGAACTGCTAGTGGTTAGCCTAGAAAAAAGGTGATACTCGTATTTTAGGCGTACTTAGCTGCTCATGACATTAATCTGATTCCTTTTTTTTCATTTCACTCTCTTTTTGCAGCCCGATTATGAAGTCTATAATCAATCAGTGCCAATGCTCACGCCAACACAAAAGAGTAGTAGTAAATCTGAACAACGTAAGAAACAAGATGATCCCTATTATTGTGGTCTACTAGCTCGTATACCGAATTTCATTAAGTCTTCAAAGAAGAGTCCAAAACAGAAAGAGCCGAAAATTTCGCGTAAAATCTCTGCTTCACAACAACAAATTGTCGAGCCGCAACCTGCACAACCGCTACCCATTGCCACATTTCATCAGTATCCGGCACACCAGCCACCCTACTATCCATATAAATTACTTCATGCGCGACATCATCGACTCTCCCAATCGCAGTTATCATTGTGGGATGCGCGCAGCCTGATTAGTGCGCATGAGTAAGAGCGGGTAGTGGGGCATTAGCGATGCAACTATGTAAACGGGCAGAATGAAATTGGAGAGAATAAATGTTAGAAAAATGTTTGGAGCAATAACGATTTAATTTTAAGCATTTTTTATAAGGATGCATGTGATTTTTTACTTAAATCAATATGAAAAATATACATATTTATACAGTGTTTTGTAGAAAGGAAAGTGCAATTATCGCTTGAAATTTTAGCGCACTATATTGGCAAAATGAATTGAATTTGAAAAAAATTGTATCAAACATACATGCATACACACGTACTTGACATCGGTTATTATTTTTTAATACATATCGCGTGTTTACGGGAAGAATGTCGCTTCAAAAAAGAAAAAAATTAAGGAAGTAAAATAAAATAGAGGTCCAGGGACTGTCAAATCGACCAAGAACTTTTTTTCTCATATAACAAAGTTTCGTCAAAGAAAAAAACTAAAAGTTTTTTTTCGAAAGTTATGCGAAATTCTAAATTTCATAATTTTTGAATACCTCAGAAACTATTATACATAGTTATAAAAATGGTTCTGGTTTCATTTTAAATTAGATATTTAGAGCTATAAAAAAAGAATAAAGTAAATTTGACAATAAGCAATCTACAGAATTATGAAATTGAACAAATCGTGAAGGCGAAGACCCGATTTTTAATACAATATGAACTTATAAACATTCGAAAATATTTTTTTTTTTTGCAAAATCTTAATACTGTTATGTTAACAATTTATATTTAATTTAAATTTATTTTTAATTTACATATATTCTGCAAAAAAAAAATTCATACTTCAAATCTTCATATAATTATATTAAAAAAAAATGTTCCACAAATTTATATAAGTTTTCGCTTTTACGATTTTTAAATTTCCAATTCTGTTTTTTTAATTTTTCGTATTCTTTTATATAGCCACAAGTATTGTCTTTAAAACGAGAACCATTTTTGTAACTTTAATAGCTTTGGAGATTTCAGTTTGGTTGTGTTTCTTAAAGGGTAGGAATATGATATAACTACTGTGGAAATATTTCCTTTATCCCTTGTCAAATTTGGATTGAAGATATACCGGTTTTGGGCGTTCTGTTATCAGTTTTTGAGTTATTCAAAAAATAAACTTGCTAAATCAGAAAAAAATTAGAAGTTCTAGATTTTCGAAAAGAAATTGTTTTTTTTCCTTTGGCAGAACTTTGTTACATGAAAAAAGAAAAGTTTGATTGACCCATTAAAATAAACTTAATAGGGCAATCGAGAAATACTGCTTTAAAAAAATAACTATAATATTTGCGAGCATCGAAGATTATCGGCAAGCATGATAAGGAATTAAAATAAATTTTCATCTTACGGCACACTGTGGAGCAACGTCTTTATGATTTTTTTTTTTTACTCAGTCTTAATTGAGTACTGGCGGCAATATGTATGAATATGTATCTGCAATATTTAGTTATTAGAAATTTATTTATTTGTAAGTTGCGCTGTAGTGTAATAAACTATGTTTGTATGTGTAATACAATGTATACAATATTGCCATAATTGTTTGATTTTTTTCATTTGTTTAGCCCTATATCTTATCCACTTGTATGTATTTGTATCTTCTACTATTTTTTTGCTTCTAAAATAAAGACTGAAATATGTCCTAGAAATATTCACAAAATAAATATTAAATGTTGTGGAAAATCACAACGTTTTTATTAATAATCATACAAGTAATTATATAACAACTGAAAAAAAATACTCGTACGTAAATAAATGAAAAATTCAGAAAAAATTACGGAATTTTTCTGTTCAAAAGTAATATTTATTCGCATACGTATAAGTATATCACAAAAGTAAATAGCTTAAGTTCTACAAAAGTCACCTTTATATTCCTCTTTCTAAATTGCTTTTATTTCTAAATACATATAATATGTAATTTTTTAGTTTCATTGTAAATATATATATTTTTTCATTTTAAATGTTGTTCTCTTTGGTTTTATGTTTATACTACCAAAAATGTAGTATATAATTCTCAGAACATAAAACTCCAATGAAAAATAACAAATTATGTATGTCAAGGCTTTGAGTTTGAGCAATTTCGAAAAATAAATCAGAAAACTTGAATCGGCTCTATTATTTGATTTCGGGTTAGAAACAATTCCAAAAAAAATCTAAATTTCGCAGTTTTTCATTTAAAATATTTAGGCCAGTGGTCGGCAGGCCGTAGCTCACTGAGCGCTCTCTGAGCACATGTATGTTTCAGTCTCACTCATTGAATCGTTTGAATGTGTTAGTACAGCGATCACTGATTTAGGCAGAGAACGTATATATGTATATATACATATGTACGTATATATACGTATACGTCTGGAATGGAATGGAAAGGAAAAGGTAAAGGGACTACAGAGAAACAGCATTTAATCATTAGTGAGCGGGGCCACGCCCATTTTCCAAAAATTGTGGAACCGTTCTATTTTATGCCAAAACTCTACTTCAAATACTAACTTGGGAGGTGGGCGTAGTTATTGCCCGATTTCGCCCATTTTCAATCCCAACCTACCTTGGATAAAGGGCAACCCCCTTACCAAATTTTTGCTCGAGTTATCGTGTACAGCCCATGAGAAATGAGCGGTCTCCATTGGAAATATATTTTGTGACTTGGTTGTCTCGACATCAGTATTTTCCCGTAGAGACAGGGCCTTATGGAACTGTACGATTGTGCAAAGTGTCTGTCAACCACTGTTGCCAAATTCGTGCTTTTCGCACTAAATTTAGAGCTTTTCTTAATTCAAAACGCAAAAATTTTTGAGTTTGGTGCTTGGTTTTTTTTTTTTGTTGCTTCTTTTAGCTAGAAGACACCATAACTGTATCTGCAACAAAAGTGGAAGTTTAATTTAGAGCAATTGGAAGTTTCGTAATGATTATGATGATATTAAAAAAGCACCGGTATCTCGTAACAGTAAACCGCCGAGCAAGAAACATTAATTTTTATTAATTTGAATCGGCAAACCTACAATAAAATGGGCATTTTATGCATACAGTGTCTTTTAAATACTCCAATAAAAAATTGGGTGCTTTTTTGAGAAAAAACGCGATTTTTCTTTGGTTTTAGTGCTTTTTCAAATGCAGAACTTGGCAACACTGCTGTCAAGTATATCTTATTATTGTTGTTTTTGCGGCTACAACTTTTCATTGTCAAATGCAACCCTGCGTTGCTTTAAAAGTTCTGCTTTCCAAACGTTTCCAAAAAAGTGACAACTTGCATTCCACATTCCACTCACGCTCGATTGTCATTTTCAAAATTTGTCAGGCATTTTATACTGGTGCATTCGAAATTGCAGTTCTTGTGTACAATTTACATTTTGGAGATTTAAGACTATTGCAATATTAATTAATTGGAAGATTATCAGCGTTTGGCGCTTATTGCGTCAACAAAAGTTACTAGTACGTTTACTATGGATAAGTTTGTGACAAGAGCCCCGACATGGCAAAAGCTAACCTATGCAACTGCGCTTGAAAAATCCCGAAAAGATGTTCAGCCGACAAATAATTGTATGGTGAAAAAGAAGCCACTGCGAGAAAGCCAAGTGAAACAAACCGAAATGGTGGAGAACTCGCCTGTGCGAAATAAACGTCGATTAAGCATTCGGGATGAGCGATTGTTGAAAATTTTTGCAAGCAAACCTGACCAGCCATTGGTGCCATCTAATGAGGACAGTGGGCTCAGTAGCTCTTCCCAAGGATCCATAGAAAATTTCAGTTTTCTTGTACATGGAGCTGACGACAGAGAGTCTTTGCCTGGGAAAGCAAAAAAACCTGTGTAAGTTAAAAATATTCCACTGTCATGAATCTAATATCAATTTGTTAAAAAGAATTTATTTCAAAATTTCCTATACTTTTGAAACATAAAACAACAAAAAGCGGCTAATTCCAAATTTCATGTGTACTAAATTATTTATAATAAATGGTGAGTGACGCGCGGAGTGCGCTCCGCTTGTTGCGTTATCGGTAATGTGAGGTACCTAGCTGGTAACACTGCGAAAAATTCGCGCTGTCATTTTCTGACATAGCGCAAATGATAACAAAAAGAAAAAAAAGCAATTGTGAAAAATAATTTAGTTCCTAAATTTGTTGATCTCTTGGAATTTACTTATAGTTTTTTTTATATTTTATTTTACGTTTTATTTCCGTGACTTCTTTCCAATATGCGCGCGCATATTGCGTGATCCAACAACGGCTTACAGGCGAATTGAGCGACTATGTGAGCAGCGCCGATGTAATGCGTTCACAGCAAAAGCTCTTGATATCCGAAACGCCACCAGCAACTTTCAAAGAGGTGGTACTTGAAAGCAACCAAAGTAACTCCGTTGCAACTTCTTCTAAAACTGCAATAAATTCCAAGGCAAAATCAACGGACAGCAACACAGCTCCTCAAGCCAGCCTTAACAACGTCGAAGGAACTCTCACGCAAGAGCCTACGACACCCGCAACAACTAACCAGAATCCACAAATGGCGCGCATACAACGTGATCTCAATAGCCCTTCTGCCACAGTACGCGTGCGAGCAATGAGGGCTTTAAAGTAAGTATTTTCTGAACTCCCAATGTTTATGATTAACTCACAAAATTTCCTCAATTAGAAATCCCAATAACGCTGCTTATACCAACTTTGACGTACCACATGAAGAACAAGATATTATCAGTGTAGAGGAACGCCAACCACCTCCACCGCCTTCGATCGAGGAGCTAATGCGTGACATTGTGGTTTATGTAGAAGTACGTACCGGCGAAGACAATAGGTCTGAAGGTGTAAAAAAAGTAATTTCCCAATTAGGCGCACGCGTAAATCACAAACTTCTTAGGTATAAAGTTTTGATCCATATATAAAAATGAATTTTTGAAATAATAAAATATTTGCGCTTTTACAGAGGTACAACACATGTGATATTTAAAGATGGTCTGTTATCCACATACAAAAAAGCTAAAAACTGGAATATACCTGTCGTTTCGATTTTATGGGTTGAAGCCTGTAAAAATAAGCGAATGATTTGTGATCCGAACGAATATCCCATATCGAATATAGATCGCTATGAAAATCCAGAACTGTACGACAAAATGAAGGTAAGTCAACGCGCAATCGCGAAACACTCAATTGTTAGCTATATACTGATTAGAAATATATGTATATTTTGTAACAGGTTTACTAAGCATTTAGAATTTTATTACATACATAGTTAATATAACGCAATGGAAATAGTAAATACAAACATAGTTGATTACTATCTGCATAAAATGCTAGCTTACAGTTATGACGGTTTTATTATAACTGAAAATACGCTTACAGTTATAATTGCTTTAAAACTAATCCCTGGGAAAACGTGTTTCTGGCGTTCTTAGTAAGCTTGACTATTCCATGATAACTGACTGCACTTTGCAACAAAAACATAATAATAATTTCATTTAATAAGCAGCGTTTACAAGAAATTAATATTTTCTGAAATAATTTTGGAACGCGCCACCCTTTGTTCGGTTAAATACAACACAGACAGCTAAACCAGAAATTTCATTGCTAAAAATGCTTAGCTGGTGAGCAAGTGTCGCTGGATAATTTGCGAAACAGAAATATGCCAATTTTTTTTCTTATAAAAGGCCCCTATAATCAAAGTTTTCAAAATTTTCTCCCTACTAAACGTTTGCCAGATTCCATTTTTTGTAGAAAAGAAAACGCCATTCATTTATGATCGCTTACCTATAATGATTTTACGTTAGTCGAGAATAGCTGAACTCGAGCGATCAAAGGTAGTCCAGAGTTACTTGTAGATATACATATGAAGGAATTAATCAAATTGGGAAGGTCTGATGCTTACATAGATACAGATGCGTGCAACTAATTAGCAACGAAATTCAAAACGATATTGCTTGCAAATTATGTTTATTTATTTATTTTTAATAATTTTCATTTAAAATATAATTCAATTTATATCAGAAACCACAATAACAAAAGTTGCAAAGCTTGCACAAATTGCAAAAAAATTAATCAAACTTCAAAAAATCGTCATCAAAATTTCAAAATTTTTAATTAGAATATTTGGAAAATTTTCGGGTATGCAATTTTGTAGCCCATTCAATTTTAGTATAATAAAGTGCAAGTTTCAAGTCGCTAAAAATTACCGTTGATTTTTTAGAATTTTTTTTGTGGAGGGTGTTGCGCATTTTCTTCCATATAACACATGATAAAAAATTTTTTTTTACATGGAAAAAAATCCGCAACACTCGACAAAAAAAAATCTAAATAAATCAACGGCAATTTTCAGCAAACTTGAAACTTGCACTTTATTATACTAAAATTGAATGGGCTACAAAACTGCATACCCGAAAATTTTCTAAATATTCTAATTAAAAATTTTGAAATTTTGATGACGATTTTTTTAAGTTTGATTAATTTTTTTGCAATTTGTGCAAGCTTTGCAACTTTTGTTATTGTGGTTTCTGATATAGATTGAATTATATTTTAAATGAAGATTATTAAAAATAAATAAATAAACATAATTTGCAGGCAATATCGTTTTGAATCTCGTTGCTAATTAGTTGCACGCATCTGTATCTGTGATATTTTATTAAAGGAGGCGAAACTTATTATTTTTTAACCCTAAGTCAAACCTTCTAAAGGCACTTCAGTTGTTTTAAAAAATGGCACAGAAATGTATGTACGTTTAAAATTGAAATAATTTTTTTAAATACTTGCTGAAATTTCAATTAAAAAAAAAATTATTGCATAGTGTGTATTAAATATTCTGAAGAGGCAACTTTTAACCAGGTATTACAAAATTATTAATGCGAACTGCGAACTACTCATTACATAAATGATTGTAATGGCAACACGTGATACCATTCTTATGGGCATTTCCACTGACAAATGTAGACAAAAACGGCAATCTTTAATATAAATTCTCCGACCTTTCGAATACGCATTTCTAAGATACGTGAGGAAATGTTTCATAAAGTTTTCTTTTTCATGTGCTTACAAAAAAAGGGTTAATCTTTTTGTTATCTGCTTTAAAAAAAATTTTGGCGCTTACCTTAGGCCGAGCTTCTTCCCCAATTTTATGATATGCGTCTTAATATCACAAATAGAGGAACCTACAAATGAACACCAATTTCGAGCCTCAAATGGTTTTGTGGGAATGTTTTTCATATCATTCGCGCATTCATAAAACACAAAAATCTGCGTAAAAGAGCTTCTTAAATATACTTTTTATCTCAAATTATATATTTTGTATTAAAATTTTCTAAGCGTGTATTTGTTATACATATTTAGATTTTGTTTCCAGTACATGAATGTACAAAACAAATTTTATTTCTTGTTAAAGAATTGGGTTGTTTAAACATCACAGTAGTCCACCTGCAAAGTGCGCTATGTAAAATTTGTTAGATTTTTAGTTTTTGATGGGTAACGTACCAGTATTTAAAGTAGTTTCATGTCCACTAACAATACAGTGCCGAATATTTCTATATTCTGAAAAAATAGCTATGCCCACGATTTATTCTGATTAATTTATTATTTTTTTTATAAAAAGTAAAATATAAAAATGCAAAGACTCTGCCGTCAACCTTAATTGACCGAGCTTCTCCTCCGATTTGTGGCGTGCGCCTTGATGTTTTTACACAAAGGGGAGGGACCTACAGTTTTACGCCGACGCCGAACGGCGATTGTATTTTTATGAGAAGCTGTTTTTCATGGTAGAAATACACTCGGAATACACTTGCCAGTCTGGGGGCGAAAGCTATTAAAAAAATTTTTTTTTTTTTTTATTTTTTTTTTTATGTTGGGTTGAATCGGTCTTGAACCCTGGCCCTGCGGAATGGCATAGCACACAGCTAACCACTACACCACAGCGGCCACCTACCTTTGACTTAGCAATATCTGTTGCTAGTTGATAGATAACAACTTTCAAATGAGTATGCGTTTGTATCTTTAGTTAATTCAGATAAGTACTCTACAAGCACCGGTACTTGACTACAGCGCAGCTTCACAGTGCCATCAAAAACTGCAACTGTGAAATTATGTAAAACTTACAGATATGCATACGTACACTTATCGCCAGGTATTTAGGTAAAAGTATGAACATACTTGACTTTTCTTTGTGCAATTTTATATTTGTCTGAATGGGTTCTTGGAAGTCATTGAAAAAAAAAAACAATTATGTCCAAGAATTAAGTTTTAACAGAAAAATGGCACGCAATCTATAATAAAACAATAATATTTGAAAAGCCATAAATAGTCCTATATGAATTATAGACTGACTTTATGTGAGATCAATCAAGTGTCTCACCGGGATTAGTGCTGAACGCATGTGCACACATAACTCTATGTGTGTACTTATAAATGTATATATAGTATTATAAATATACATATAAGCTCATTTTAGCAAATCTTGATAATGTAGAAAAAAACCGCGTGCAAAACATTATAAACGCTTGATGACTAAAAGGTTCTTTCCTTATACATATATGAGTAATTTCCAAACAAAGTGTATTTTTATATATTTTTTAAGATTGGTAAATTTATCCTCTGATATCGTTTGCCGACGTGAAAATATGTGCAGAATACGAAACTGCTTTCAGGCTCTTTAAAAATTATTAATTTTTTTCTTATTTTAAGTTAAAGTATTAAATAAGTTTAGAAACTGTTCGAAAAAACTTTACTAACCGATAGCTAAGCGATAAGCTAATGTTGTGAAAAAAGCTTCCACCTTCTTCTTAACATTTTTCATGGTTCCATGTCATTTTCTTGGGAGGCAGGCTTTTTGTTTAATCTTTCTTCGGCAACAATTTCCCATACAATTTTTGTTTTTTTTTTTCTAAGATTATTATTTCACCAAAATATAAAAACAAGGATATAATTGAAACTTCTTAAGAAGTTAACAGACATAAGTAATTAACTTATTTTTAGTTTTTTTTTTTTGCATAAAAACCTGGGTGACATTCAGGAAATATTCCGCCGTACTTACCATGGTGCAGTGATAGATTCACTTAAAACACAAAATAATTACTTTTAATTCTTATGTCATTCGATCAACAACATTTTGCGCTTTTTAACTGCAATGCACTTAGGCAAGCAAAAATACGAATGCTAATATCACGGCAAAATTAAAAAAAGGGACACTCAGGTAAAAATAGAATAAAACATAAAAAAGGTGGTCATTCACAAACAGTTACGCCTTTTTTAATTGTTTTTTTGTTTAAACTTTTTTCATGTTGATTATCGAATAACCTGAGCGGGGACAAATATTTTTATATGGAGTAGGTAAAATATATCAATAAAATACCGTTTGCAAAAGAAAGCAAAACGGCTTACAATAATAAAACAGCAGAATTATTTGGATTGTATAATGCTGTTTTTTTTTTTGATTTATCGTTTTTACCACCATAAAAAATTTAAGAAGTGGGAACAACAAAATAGCACTTCGTTTGGAAATGACCCATATATCTATATATTTTTGTTAAGATATCTAAGAAACATTCAAATGCACGTAGGCGCTTTTATCAGCACACATCACAAATTATCGTGACATTTTTGAATTTATCATTCTTTAATTAAGTTATCTTAACAAGTAGTTGTTGTTATTGTTGTTGTTAGATCATAGGCATTTGCGTATACCATCCGTTTGCAGTTTTTGAAGTGTATACAAGTTGATAGATTGCCTACTACATACTGTACTACCAGCGGCAAATGTTTAGTACACTATTTCAATGCTACTACTTATACAAACTACTTGTACAATTAAACATGGCACCTTCACTTTAGCTGAATGTATTTTTGTTTTTATTGTTTATTAAATTACGTAGTGTTTTTTACACTTTTTGTGCTTTCAAACATACACAGAAGATAGTTAAAAACTAATTAAGTTTTACTGCTGCTGCTATTGAGCAGGATTCCTATGAGATACGTTAAATAATGCCATAAAAGCAATCAATTATTCGCAGCATTATGCTGAAAAGAGATTTCTAAAATCAAGTGGTTTACAAACATATTTAGTTTTAAAATATTTACAAAATTAATACTCAGTTGTCTTCTGCCGTCTGTGGCATTTGCTGTTTTTTGGTTTTTCTATTTTTGT